GTTGGGCACACAAAATTGCCTTCTAGAAATCCATACTGAAGCCTGTTTGGATCTACGCTATACAGCGTTGGGGAACTGCTAGCAACTCAAATATTGAGATACTTCAGCGTTACCAATCAAAATCTAATTACGTATCTAATTTAAATATCCACAAAGATCTTAATATTCCAACCATTAAAGAAGAAAAAAAGAAAACTAGTAGGAAATACATCGACAGACTCCACAACCATGAAATTAATTGTCTATTAGACAATAGCTTAACAGTAAGAAGACTGAAAGTATACCACATTCTCGATCTCCCCGATAGATAAATCCATCAAACTGAAAAGATGTTATATATAATAGCAGGGCTCATTGGAAAACTGCTATTTCTGTTAATTGAATATTAATTATACAATTTACTTATTGTTTAAAAACAGATTGTAAATATAAAGAGAGAGAAAAAAAAAAAAAAAAAAAAAAAAAAAAAAAAAAAAAAAAAAAAAAAAAAAAAAAAAAAAAAAAAAAAAAAAAAAAAAAAAAAAAAAAAAAAAAAAAAAAAAAAAAATATATTTCAGGTCGTAATTGTGTGGGGAGTAATCAAAATTAAGAACTTATTCCGTTATTCCGTGAAGACCAATAAGGGGAAGGCCCAATAATAGATGTAACTGTACATGCAATACATACACCACCAAAAATCTAGCTGAAAAAAAGAGACGAGTCAAGGGTGAGCAAATCATAAGGTATGGTCATAACACGAAGCAGGCCATACATACAAGGGCCTCTAACTCGATTGACCCTACCTTGCCATGAGTAAACTCTGGACAAAGAGCAAATGAAGTTCTAATTCTCCAATTCGTTCGGCCAGCCAAACACACAACACAGAACACGATCGACAGCCAGTGGACCAACAGTTAATGCTGATGCTGCAAAGGAATTTCGAGTTGATAACAAAAACAACAGTAAAGCTGTACACGATAAGGCGCCAAGGAACACACAAATAACAACAATTAATACGGAATCAATACGGTAATTCAATTAATTTGAAACAAGTTAAAAAAGGGACCTTACAATATATATTATTTTGTATCGATGTTTAGTCACAAAATACCGATGGGGACTCAATCGATATATTGTATTGCATTAGGATGCTCACTTGAAAGCGAGGGAAACGACAAGCTGTGCGCATTTATTTGTTAAAGAAAACGTGGATAGGAAATAAGGTAAGTTTATAAAGAACATAAATAGTGCAAATATAGACATAATAGATTTCAGCAAACAAAAATGAGCACAAACGACCACATCGATAGCGTGGATATGAGCGGACTCTGCATGAACGAACGCTACTCGGACGTGGAGTTCTTGGTGGAGGAGCAGCGCCTGCCCGCCCACCGCTACATTTTGGCGGAGCGCAGCGAGTACTTCCGTGCCATGCTCTACGGGAACCTGTCTGAGTCAAAGGAGCGGGAAATTCGATTGGAGGTGCCAGTGAGTGCATTTAAACTGATCTTGGGCTATATTTACACCGGCAAACTGCCACTATCCCTACTGGACGTGGATGTCATCATGGATGTGCTCGAATTGGCCCATCTTTACGGATTGCTGAATGTCGAGGCGGCCATAAGAAAACATCTGCAGCAGAATCTGGCCCCCAGCAATGTCTGCACGATCCTAGATGCAGCACGTCGGCACAGTATGGACGAGCTAACCGAAGAATGCCTTAAGTTTATGGACCGCAATGCGTGCATACTGCTGGAGGAGTCATCTTTTGAAAGGCTCTCTAAGGAATCCCTTGGGGAAGTCCTGCAACGGAACACTTTTTGCGCTCCTGAAGTTCAAATCTTTCAGACTGTATGCAAATGGAGTCTCTTCAATCCGAGCGCGGACATCAAGGCGGTAATCTCAAACGTACGTCTCTCACTTATGAGTGTCCATGAGCTGCTGCATGTGGTCCGGCCCACTGGCATATTTGAGCCGGACCAAATATTAGACGCCATTGATGAAGCTGTTAAAAAATAAGGCCAAATTATTTAAAAAATGTTGCCGGGCGAAGAAATCAAAATCATTTCTTGTATAGTTTGTAAACGCAACTTAGAAATCAATCTGATAAAGTCGTTGATGATCAGATTGATTAGAGTGACTGGTTCTGGATTACTATCAAATCAGAATCCAACAGGCTCAATCTTTATCATTCCTTATTTTCAAAACCCCAAAGAATCACATGTTGAGAAGTGATATATATTTTAAGAGCGCACAAAATGTGCAAGTTCTCCAACACAATTCAGTAATCTGTAATTAAGCAGCAAAATCAAATGAAATTAATCTCAAACTTCTCAACATGTCGGAACCTATTCTGTGTAGCCCTGTGACTGTAACATGTCAGAGTTCAGTCCACCCTTTCCATATATCATTTCTTATTATGATTAAGTTCAGTTTGCTGCAGTTGCATTAAGTTTAATTTGTTTGAAGTGAAGTTGATCTGATCAGTGACACAAAGAATGTGTATGACGGCAGCTTATACGCAGATTTATCGGAAGACTTTCTGCTTTATTTTGCCACCAAAAAGTATGCCATTTTTGTAAGCAGCTGAAGAGTTTAATAGGCTACAAATACATATGTAACTAGCTTAAGTCTTCTCTGAAATTTGTATTGAAATTATCTGAAGTACAAAGATGTATCTAAAAATATAAGCGTGAAGCGATTAAATCAAGAGTATATCAAACTAAAGACAAATGAGAACATAGTCTCCAGAATGAGTGAATTTGAGTGAATTTATTGTTATTATTATCTTAACTATCTTAAACTAGCGCTAGACGTATACGTGCATATAAGATTTATAATTTTCTATGATTCGGCGGCATATTCGCATCCTGTTCCGTTTGCTTTGCGTGCTTTCAGCACTATGCTGAAACTGGAAAGGCTCGAAAACCTGATGGCCCGCGACCTTAAAGACAGCAATCAAATAAAATACAAGATATAAATTCAATTAAAAATATATTTTAGGTGCAAGTTCACCAACACAATTCTGTAATCTGTAATCAAGCAGAGAAATCAAATGAAAATAATCCCAAACTTACGCAAGTGCTCCACAAAGTCTCAAAATAAAATGTGATCCCATCTTAAGGGGCACCCTCTTAAGAAATCACTCAAAAAACGAGCGTCTAACTAAAGCTTTTGATTAATGGAAGGCAAGGGCCGAACCCCAAAGAGCGAGAGAGACAGAGAGAGAGAGCAAGGGTATGATGTGCGTGTGCCGAAGACAAATTCGACATTCGGCAACGAAAGTACCAGCAAGGGAGTCTGTCTCTCGCTCTCTTGCTCTTTCTCTGCACCTTTTTTTTTTGTGTATTTGTTGATCTTGAGACGGAATTCGGAATTCCAAATTGTTGATTTATCTCTCGGGTCTCCGTCTCCGTCTCCGTCTCCAGATCTCGCGTCGGCGGCGCAGTCCACTCAAAATTTACCAGCGGGCGACCAAGTTTATAAAACATTGAGCCAAAATGCAGCCTCGCACAGTTGTTTCCAAAACGGCCGCCGTTGCACGCGTTGTTGTCGTCCGCCCGATGGCCCTCATCGAAATTTAAGCGAAAATGAAATTCGGTTAGCGTCAACGAAAAACGAGTTGCAGGGCCACAAAAAGAAGAAACAGAAGCGGAGACGGAGACAGTGACAGTGGCAGTGGCAGAGCCAAAGAGCTAATCTGTTGTGCAGTGCGTTTTATCAGCAGCAACAGAAAACAGAAACGAAAACGAAAGTCGAAACAGTCGCGGATCTGTGGCTCTCGTAATGTGCCCCAATAAAAATAAATGAAAATAACAAAATAATCACAACTACAGCCGGAATATGTAGGTAAAAAGTGAAAATAAATCAGAGACACAAAGTGCTCTAAAGCGATACCCCAAAAAAGTTCCCCAAGCAACAAAAATAAATCAAATATTATACAAAATACCGAAAAATAAAATCAAATAAAAGTAAGTGCCGGAGATTCTAATACGAAAAGTGCTCTCTGTGCAAATACAACATGTTAATTGATGGATTCAATGGGCAGGCCAGGCAGCATTGCGAGACAACGGGCAGGGGCACCACTCAACTCCAGACCAGACTCATCTCCACCTAAATACTTCTCTCTCTCTCTCTCTCTCTCTCTCTCTGGCTCTTTTTCTCTGTCTTGCCTACACTCTTCACACACCAATTCGTTATGTAAAATGCAGATCAAACATATTTCGAAATGACTGCCCCCCCGCTACCGACCCTACTGCTAGACAAAGTCCATCGATGGGTGTCTCAGATTATGCAAAACTCAACTTAAAAAAAAAAAAGAGCGCCTCTGAGAAAAGCGCTAACTATGCAAATTCGTTTAAAAGATTTCAATTGAAACCGTAACCGAACCTAAGACCCGTACCCGTATACGTGCTATGCGATCCCAAAAGCCAAAGCATTATTCTTTGGAATCGTCTTTCTTTCTTCTTTCATTTTGATTACGCGCATTATTTAGTCATAATAATAAACAATAAGCAATAAGCATTTGGGCGCTACATAAGTATTACGTACACGCAAGAGTGTGAATGAATGTGAGTGAGTGTACGCGTGAATAAGAAAAAAGAAAGACAAGTCGCAGATATTCATACCCTGAAAGATTTGATTTATGCACTTGACTGCATAGAGTTATTCTGCGTTAGAGTTAACCCACAAGTGAACTGAACCCTTTCGATTAGTGTATACAAAAGGAAAGGCCAGCAACAACACGCTACACATTGTGTGTGGTCAGGCGGCGGCGACGCTGTCCAAATAAATGGAACTGCTGCTGCAGCAGCATCGCTGCCTGTGCTCGTGCTCCCTTTTACACATGCTGTCTTTCACTCACTCAAAGGCAAACAACTCAAATGTCGCTGGGCGACCAATCAATTGAACCTTAATCCCATGTCGCGCTCTCTCTCTCTCTCTCTCGCGGGCCTCTCAGCCGGAATTGGGTTGAGTTTTGTTTATCTTCTTCTGTGGCATAACAACAAAAACAACAAACTTTTACTACGCTGGGCGCCAATATACAATAACAATAAAATGCAAAATTATTAACGCATGTGTTAAATGTTAATTATTGCATAAGCAGCCAAGGCATGTCTCTCTTTCTCTCTTTGGCTCTTTGGTTAGCGCCAGCGCCAGCGACAGGCATGGATGTGTGTAACCCCGAAACGGGGTTTACGATTTACTATTTAACCGGTAAACGAACCTTCAAGCGGCATGCGTAATATTCTATGAAAACACTAGAGGTGTGAAGGCGCAACACCAGGCGTATGCGTAATATTCTATGCCAATAGAGGCGTGGCACGGAGCACGGTAGAGAGGGAGAGCGGCCGCAATGTGTGTCACTGGGAAAACGTGCCTACAATGTGCTTTTGAATGGCTTTTTGTTAAACGAAAGTTTACCACCAGCCAAAAAAAAAAAAAAATATAAATATTACTCAATTGGCAAATCAATTAACACAAATATCAATAACAGTTAGCCCGAAACGCCAGCGGCAGAACGGGGTGAGGGAGGTGAAGAGTGACCTTCAAACGGCAATCAAATAGCTGGCCCAAATATCAAAAAGAAAAGAAAACAGCAACCAAAAGTAAGCCAAGCAATAAGCCAAGGCAACATCATCCATAGGTATAATAAGTACCTTTAGCAGCAGAGCACATTAATGGAGATCAGGCGGCGCACCTCCAAGCCATGGCTGGCACTGATGCTCTGGCTGTGGCTCTGGCTCTGTGTTGGCACTGCCAAGGGCGACAACAGCAATCAGAGCTCCACACAAAGTACACATTGGCAACAGCAGCAGCAGCAGCAGCAGCAGAGATATCAAAGTAAGCTGAATGAATCGCTTAGAGGCGATTTGCCAGAGGAACAGGCACAACAAGCGACATCGATTGTTAGCTCTCCCCATGAGATGCATTTGACACGCACCTCCGTCATCTTTGGACTGACCAAGGTGCCGGCGAACGACAGCCAAGTGAGTGCCAAGTGCCAGGGACAGCTGCGGCAGGTGCAGCGAGGAATACTCAGCAAACAGCCATGGGCCATGAAAGGTGAGTGTGATGAAAGGTTGCGCTCAAGCTTAAACCATCTGTGATCAGGGATCTTTATTTTTTGGCATTAATTGTCGGCTTTTTCGCTGCTTTCCAGTACTCGATGCTTCTGGCACGAAACCCTCTGGCTTTGTGTACGGCCAGAACTACTGGCTGGGCAGCCGTGAGGCATGTCGCGGCGTGCAACGACCCGTGGGCATTACCCTCTCGCAGAACTTCGAGCGTGTGATGCACTATGGCATCATTACACAGCAGGCGCCCTTCGATATGGATTATCGTGTGATTTACCTGAGTCACAGCTCACCCTGGCAGGTGGAGATCAAGCTGATGTCCGAGCAGATCATACACATTGGACTGTGCCTGCCGCGTGCCTGCAGCTCGGAGGAGGTCAAACATTTGGCGCAGCAGTATGTGACCGGTGGACTGTTCACCGAGAGCGAGATCTTCGACATACGCCCGCAGGTGGTGTACATGAAGGATCTGCAGTTGAAGGAGGTGTTCTTTGAGCGTCCCAGTTTTCGCCTGCTGGTCGCCTGTGTCCTGGCCACCGGCGCTTTGATGCTCTGCGCCCAGCAGCTGACGGCGGCCATAAAGGCAGCTCCAACGACGGTCGACGATGCGGGCCTACTGGCGCCCGCCGAGTCCGAACTGTGGCGGGCACTCCACTCCCTGCTGGAGTGGCGGCGCCTGCAGAAGTTTGTCGAATGCTTCGACGTGCCCACAAACTGGGGCAAGATCTTCGCAGTGCGCGAGAACAGCCCCACTGAGATACCGCTGATGAACGGGCTGAGGTCGGTGTGCGCCATCTGGATCATGGTCTTCCATGTCGTGTGGTTCATGTACTTTACGGTGCACAACAAAACGGTTCTTATTTCATATGCGGAGCAGGCCTTCTTCCAATATGTCTCCTCCGCACCGCTGCTGGTGGATGTCTTCTTCACCATTAGGTGAGCTTTCCTCCACAGGCTGCAGGCTCTGCTCTCTGGTTACTCATTTGTTTCCCCCTTTTAGTGGCTTCCTGCAGACCTTCAACTTTCTGCGCAACTCTCGGCAGCTGGAGGCAGTGCGACAGAATAGTCTGCGGCAGAATCTGCAGCTCTTTGGCAAGCTGCTGTTCCATCGGTACCTGCGCCTGGGTCCGCTCTATCTGGTGGTGATGGCCACCGTGGATCTGGTGTACGCCTACATTGGGGATGTCTCCGTCTACCACATCAACGAGCGCTTCGATGAGATGTGCTCCAGGCACTGGTGGCGCAATCTTCTGTTCATTCAGAACCTCTTCGATCATCGGGATATGTGCGCCAACTGGAGCTGGTCTCTGGCCTGCGAAATGCAGTTCTTTGTTCTGGCCAATGCATTGCTATTCCTCTATGTGAAGTAAGTCGATTCATTGGCTCCAAAGTAATTGCTAAAACCTCTCCTTTTCAGGCATCCCAAGCTAACCAAAGCGCTGGTGGCCTCTGCACTCGTCTCGACCATCGTCTGGTCGTATGGCATCGGTGTGAGCATCAAGTTTCAGCTGTCCTTCGATGCCGCCTTTGCCACCGGCACAGAGATCTACACCTCGCCGTTTGTGCGTGTTCTGCCGTACATTTTGGGCGGCATCACAGCCTGGTGCCTCAAGGAGCGACGCGTGCAGATGGAGTTGAGCGAGTCCCGTGAGCGACTGTACTGGCATTTCGCGCTGCTGGTTTTCTTCGGGTGCATCTACTCGACGGTGCGGCGGGATTTGGGGCCCCTGATGGCCATCACGCTGTTTGTCATGGGCCGCCTGTTCTTCTCGCTGAGCGTCTGCTGGATGATAGCGGGCAGTGCCGGTGGTCGAGGTGTCTGGTGGTCACGCCTGCTGGAGGCCAAAGGCTTCCAGCATGTCAGTCGGCTGTCGTATGCCATTTACCTGCTCAATCCTTTGGTCATTGCCCTTTTCTACAGCCTGACCAGCTCCAGCACGCATGCGGATCCCTTCATGCTGGTAAGTTCTGATGAATTCTCTCTGATCTCCCAATGAATGTTCTGAATGTTTGCAGTGCGTTGTCACCTGCGGCTTTGCTGTCATCTGCTACCTGGCCTCGATTCTCTTCTCGCTGGCCTTCGAGCTGCCGTACAGCAATCTGTCGAGTCTACTGCTGCGGCGAGGCAAAGCCAACAGCAGCAGCAGCAGCGGAGGCAGCAAGCCGAAGATCGCCTAATGGATGCCTAGCCCTTAACTTAGATCGTTGAGATCTGCAACGCACACGCCTCCACCATCTGACAATTGTGATCGCTTTCATGTACAACTAAACTAAACTAATCATCATAATCGAATAATCGAACCTTTTAGTGCCTTAGTCTCTTGTCTTAGTCAACCCGTATAGCATATACTGTACGTACTATCTATATAAATCGTAAAACGTAAATCATGCAGCGTACATCGTACATCGTACATCGTTCATGGGTGGCCATCATACTTAATTACATATTTACATACGTTAGACGTTTTATATCTACATATACAGATATATTATCTGTTGGCCATCTCTAGCTCGTTGATTGAACAGCGCTGCCGCAGCTTCATTGCTTCTGTGTCTGATGTCCACGAAGATATGCTCAAAGGTGCTTCCGCTACGAGTTTGCATGGATTGCAAGGTTTTATGTTACCATAACCCATGGAGGGCTTTCCAGTCATCTCAGATGCTACTTCTAATTAGTTACATCCCGCTGAATGTGTTTATTGGTTTGCTTATCAAATGTATTGCAATTTTGAAAGCAGCCGGCAGCACACGAGTCGCGCAACGATATTTTGTTGTCATCCCTAATGTGGTATGTGTCCATATAAGGTAAGGCCTGTGCGCTCCGAAGAACATGTGTCGAAACAAATTTTCGGGAAAACAATAGAATTTCTTTTCCTCTTTTGTTACGCCCGTTTTCACTAATTGTCAATGATATCAGTTAATATAAGTACATTTGTCTCTGTTAATAATTTACATACATTAACATACCGAAGACAAAGCTGTCGTGCTTCCAGAGTGGATGACTGGAATGAAAAATTTAAACACAAATTTGTAAAGTATAAGGTCATAAGGTATACAATCCAATGAAAAGGAGTATTTATAATAAGCAACATTGATTCTTCAATCGGATTAAGTTATTGTTTCAGTGGTGAAAGTCTTTGCCAGCTGGTAATATCAAATAGAACATAAAAATCGAGGAATAGTGCTTGTTTTTGTAAGTGTGAACGTATATTATTTGTGGTATATTTCCGTGGGACTTCTGTGCTCGATATCGAACCGCAAAAATGAGGAGAGAGGATCTTGCTCTCTCTGCTGATCTAATCCTCTCTTGGGCATGTAACCAACCGCAAGGTATGGCAAATAGGTAAAATAAGGACGGACTTTTCAAAGCACCCACCTTTTTCGCACCTGTTGAAGGATTCATATAACATGACGTGATGGATTTCAATTGTTGTGAAGATAGAATAACTGCCACCCAAAGCACTCCGAGCACATTATAATATTTACTTATGTCCCCATTCCCTTTCCCTTTTTAGAAAAATAACAGAATTTCTTATCTCTTTAGAAGCGCGCGCTGTTTTTTTTTAAATTCATATGATATCAGTTAACATACATGTGTCTCTACCTGTTACATATACTTACATACTGCATACAAAGCTTCCTTGCTTCCAGAAGGGGTGATGTGAATGTTTGAATTCGTAAAATATAAGGTCATAAGGTATACAAACAAATAACAATTAGTATTTAAAATACGTCAAATTGATTCTTTAAACGGATTAAATTATTGTTTCAGTGTTAAAAGTCCTTGCAATCTAGTAATATCAAATAGAACATACAAATCGGGTAATCTGATTTAAGACAACGGTATATTTTACGGTATATTCGTAAAATGAGAATGGTATATTTTTGAGGGTTGTGCGGTATCTTTTCCCGATAATTCCGCGGTCACACTGGTACGCGCGGTTGCTGCGCTGTGGTGTCGCGGGCGTTTTTTGTTTTTGTTAGAATATTCAAAAGGAATAAACAATAAACGGTATTTAAAATGCATTAACAAACGCGCATCGTTTCGGTAAATGTTAACTGAAAATTAGTAACAAATTAGCAACGTGCAAAAACACAGTGCGAAGGTGTGAAAAAACCGTGGTACAGCATCCTTTTAGCTGCTGCTTCTTCTCATCATCTTGTGCATTCCTTTTCGCCTGGCATTTCGTGCGCGTGTGTGTGTGTGCGTGTCCTCCAGATTGGATATGGGCATGCTCCCTCCTACCCCGCCCTGTCAAGCCGCAAGAACTCGTAAATTATTTTAGTGCTGCCAATAAATTGATGCCAAAATCCCAATCGGAACTCGCGCGCGTGAGACCTGCCGTTACCGGGCGGTGGGTAACCAACGGCGTTTCGGTTAACTGTTACGGTAACTGTAACTCTCTCGCTGACTTCTGTGTGTGTGTGCGTGTCGTGTGAATTTTAACAATTAATTAAAAATGCACACAGCCTGAGGAGCAACAATAACAAGCACCCCTGTGCTCTCAATTTGAATTCCTTTCTGGTCTCTGGCATGTCCTTGCCCTCATATGCGTGTGTGTGTATACATATGTGTGAGACTGAGAGGATTACAACTAAATTTGATGTGCCAACAAGAAGAGAGAGAAGAACAGCCGTTTACAACAGCAGCAACAAAGGTAAGTGTCTGATTATAATTAAGCAATCAGTGGAGCCGCTCTCTGGCGCTCTGCTAATGCCCCTGCCCTCGACCTCTCTCTGACCAGAATTGAGCAACACCTTTTGTTTATCCACGTTCCAACTAGTAGTTAAGGCGTTTCTTATCACACGACCCGCCGTCTGTCGAGCATCATCGAGAGCCCATTGTTGTTGCGTGTCCGCCCCCGCGGTCCACTCTCTTTGGTTTTACTCTCTCACTCTCTCTTTTTGGGCCCCAGCGTTCATTGTTGTTGCTGCTGCTGCTGCTGCGCTTCTTTGGTGGAATTTGTTCTCCTGCTCTTTCCCTTACTTTTAACTTTGGCACCGGCTAGCGCGCCCTCTCCCTCTCTTCTGCTCTGTTCTTCTTTTTTGTGTGTTCTTTTTTGCATGTGGTTGTCGCTGTCATCGTCACATGGATTGACCTTGAACAAGTTCAGGCACAGTGGCACGCATGCTTATTCTTGTTGTCTCTGTGGACTGTGACTGTTCCTTGGCCTTGGCTGCAGCTTGGTCTAGCTCCACGGTAGCACCCACCGTATCACCCCCTCCCACTCCACTCTCACTCGATCGCCCACTTAAACAGGCGATAAATGACGGCGCCGTGGAGTGTGTTTGCTTGGGTCCACATATGCTTGTGTGGGTCTGCCGTATGCGTGTATATTTATCATTCACTTCTCAATATGTCACAATTTCAATCAATTTGTGTGTGTGTTATATGTTTGCAATAAAAACGCAAAAAATTTTCTATCACATGGTCTCTGGAACCTAAAGCTTTGATTTTTCTGGTTTACAGCAGCTTCCGCGTTAAGCTCACACACACACACTCTATTCCTCTCTCCCTCTCCCGTTCGCTATCTCTCGAACTCACACTCACACTCACACTTGCTCTCTTATTATATTTTGGAATTTGTTCACCTAATCCCCTGCTTTTGCGTCTGCTTTGGCTATTGCTCTTCTTCTGCTACTGCCACTGCCACTGCTTCTACTTCTGCTCTTCTTCGCATTCTTATGGCTCTTCTTTCCCACCCCAGCTGATATCTGGCCAAACGGTGGGACCACCAAACTTCGGCAGTTTTATTAGCGCGTACAGTGACCCCTGCGCGTACCAGCCGCTCACAGGCCTAAGCTTTGGCTTTCTCTTTTGCCGCCTTACGATGCAGCCGGCATTTGGGTGTCCCTCTTAAACGAACACTTAAATACTCTGCCGACGATCTTTGAAGAGAGCGCCCGTACCTGAGAGTATGGCCTGAAGGGCAGAAGAAGATAGCGAGATAATGGGCTAGAGAAAACAGAAACGGAATGTATCGACCAGCAAAGTGTCTCAAAGCTCTTTTACTTCTATTCCTAACCGAAAATCAAATATTCTCCAATTAATAGGGTATTTCAAATTCGCCAACTTTAGTTTAATTCAAAATTTTCTTTTGAAATGGGAGCGCAGCTTTGTTGCGATTTTGTTGAAAAGTAAAAGCTTAATCAGCAATTAGCACTAGACGAGTAGACGACTGACAGCCAGCGGAAACATTCTCTATTCACGATAATGAAAGTGCCCTTGTGATGGATGATCGACCTAAGGCCTAAGCCCTGAGAAAACATTTTTAAAGCACATAAATCTAATCAAGTTTTGAATTCCAAGCACTTAATGGGGCGCCCAGTCAATGGATTTTTTCCACTTTATCGAAACATTGCCCCACATTACAATTAGTACAGTAACAAAGGCCAGAAATATGTGAATAAGTGTATGCAAACATACTACGAATTTCTTATTTAATGTAAATAAACAAAAATTGTTTAGCAAGCATTCTCGCTTTGGCCATTCAAGATCTTTCGAAAGGTATAATCAGTTTATATTTCTCTCACCTTAAACGTTTTGGCTCATGGAAAACTTTTAAAAATATTTGAAAAAATGTATCTTAATGTAGCGAACAAATTGGCCATTGCTCGTTTTTGGTTTTTGGTTTTTGCTCGTTCATTTGTGGTTAGTGTTGGTAGATATAAAACAGTCGAATGGCATCGGCATCATGCTGATATTTCGCACTAAAACAGATATACATTTTTTCCATGCATATCCAGAAATGTGTAAACATTATTTATGCTTGCAAAGAGTATCTACAATTGTGGTACCTTTAAAGCGATTTCTTCTCTGCACTTCTCAGCAATTCTCTCAAAAGCACTGACCCAATCAAATTCAACAATTCTGAATAATTGTTAATCAAAAAGAAAAGGCAAACTAGCATATGTGTACATATGTGTTTGTTATGTATTTTATTACATTTATATATGTTTTGATATCTGAATGTTTTGCATGTCTGGAAGCAAGTCAAAAGTGAGTCATCCATCGCTTGGAAGTCAAATTTGAATTCCACAATCACTTCTCTGCTGCCGCCTGTCGCCTGCCACTTATTTCCATATTGTTTTTATTAAATTTTTCTTTCTTTATGGAGGAGATACACAAATATTTGAGGCCCCAGTCCTGTGTTTCCTCCCCTCTCTGGAAGGTGCGTGCATGGAACTCGTTTTGGCCCGGGGGGTTCATCGGCAGACTGGACTCTGGTCATTGACTGCGAGTGCGACTGCGGAACTGTGGACCCGTGAAAAAGCTCGCAATTAAATTTTCATTCGCTGCTCAAGGAAAAGGAATAGTTAAAGGTATTCATAAATTATTTAGCGTGTGTCAGGGAGCGACCGAGCGGCGAACAGCGACCAACCCTGGACGTCGTACCCT